AAATAAACCAAATAATTGAAATTACAGCATCAACCAGGAAGACTTATTTGAATGCACAAGTCAATGCAGTTTTACTTCATATATAGATAAGGATGAAATTGTCATAATAGCTGGCTGTGGAATGAAAATTTCGCCTCATTCAGCTTGTGGAGTGAGTGAAATCATATTTTTTCTTGGAAATGAGGGTTTACAAAATGCAAATGCATGGTTTGCAGCTTCTTCCTTCGATCCTTATTTTTCTACGATAAAAAAAATTCCCATTGTGGATTAAGTATTATTTGATAATGGAGCATGTTATAGGATTGCATATGTCTACACTTGGACAACTATTTGAAGTTACATTTTCCAGTTAACAATAATGATGATGTGATATGATAAAAAATGCTAATAAAACTTTGTTATTATTTTTATTTACTATTTATCTCATCTGCCTGTGCTGTATTATAAATAATAAATAATGAAAAACAACTTCAGGTCCTTGTTTGAAAACATTAGCATTCGAATAAAATAAAAATAAAATAAAAACTATGCTTTGTTTTTGAAAGTTTATTTACGATTTTAAGGATTTATTTTAAAAAGATAATGATTTTACGGTTTTCATTTAAAGAAAAGACTTAGTAAAAAGCCATGTTTTATTTGCTGTAACCTTTAATAATGAGCCATTTTTTAAATCAAAAACAAATCCATGAACCTGTATTGTTTGTTTAGCATATTTAACAAAATCGATTTTACTAACGTTTCCCATTTGATTCACGACATTATTTTTGACAAATTGGTCTTGAACTGCAAGATTATTACCAAAATCGATGGGTTTTGCTACTTGTCCAAACAATACCCTCAACCATTTCATTAGATTAGGTTCAAGGTTTGATTCAAAACAACTTTTTACTCCACCACAACCTGTATGGCCTAAATAGGAATAAAAGAGAAATTAATACCATTGCAATCTGCTCTTCTATTTTTTTTTGTGGTCTTTCATTTTTAGTCTAACTTGGGGCACTGCATTCTTTGCATTGAATTATTCCCAAGCATTTCTTGGAGAAATTTATTTTCCATCCTGTACTTTTCAAGATTTAATGGGTGAATCTTGGAAGGTACAGGGTACAGGTGAAATTTGTCAATCCCCATACCTGTACTTTTCTGGTGACCCGAACCTTTAACTAAGGCTCCAAACAAATCTAATTGAATTGAATTTTAGAGTGATTTGATTCAATTCCTAAATTTTATATTAAATTTATATTACACAGTGAATCTCAATGTAGTGTATGTGTATCTCAATTTAGTGGATACTAATGGATTGAGGTTTAATAATAGAATTATTCTCCATATAACGAATTTCTTGATACAGTCAAACCTTGACACAGCCAAATGAATTGAGACATGTAAAATTTTAAAAATCCATTATGACAAGAATTTAATATTAATTATTATTATAGTCCACTGTGAGAAGGTTTGACTCATTAACTACTTCATATTCATGGCGTCAATTATGTGATTAACAACTAATGGCAATGAACATTAAATGAGTTGATTAAAAATACAACTTAAAGCAACTATATATTCTAATAAATATTATCTTGAATGGATTCCTTATAATGATTTAACAAATATTGAAAAGATAGTTGAAGGTGGTTTTTGCAACTGTATACCAAGCTTACTTTGTTAAATGATTATGGAAAAAGAATAAATAAAGATAGGAATGTGGCATTAGAAACATTATATGGTTCACAAAATGTTCCTGATGAATTTCTTAATGAGGTAAATTATTTTATTGTATTTTTTTAATACCCTAAATAAAATTATTTACAAAGAAAATTTATATTTTGTCTAGGGCATGACAGTCTATGTCCATGTCTATGTCTGCTGACAACACTGGCTATATAAATAAATACCAATAAGAAATGAAAGCATGAATATAATTCATGATATATATATTTACAATTACATTTTTGATAATATTTTAATGAAGTTGTGCATATAGCTTTCAGGGTTCTGTTTACTCTAAAAAATTATCAAAGTTTGGTTGCAATGAACCCATTCTCGTAGGTTCTGTTGAAATACTGTGATGACTGAAAGAATCATTATCTTCATTATTTGGTTGCCCATAATTTTCCTCTTTATCAACTTTATCACCTTTATCAATGCTTGAAATCATTACACTTAGCTTTGTTTCAACTTTTTGAATATCAGGCCTGCTTGTTGGATCACCTTGCCAACATGCTAGATACAAGCAAATGATTAACAAAAATTTAATGCATATATAAATATATAGTTTTTAAATATATAGATTTTTACCTTTGTATAAATTAATGTATTCATCAGGTGTATTAGGAATAGGTTCCTCACGAACTCCTTGAGAAATATTATACATTAAAGTATAATGTTGAAGATCACACATTTGTATGAATAATTATTTGCGGTCGCGTTTCGTCGAAAGTTTGTTTCATCGAAAGTCCATTACGTCGACACCTATTTCGCCGAAAGTTTGTTTCATCGAATGTTCATTTCGTCGAAAATTATTTCATCCTCGAGCCAGAGATCGAACGAGTTAGATGTGAGGAGTGTGGGAAGTTAGTTAAGAAATTAGGTGAGGAAAGCGGAGTGTGTGGGAAGTGTGAGGAGAAATTTGTTTAATGAAGTTTTTTTTTTGTGACGAAATAATTTTCGACGAAATGACTATCGACGAAATGATTGTCGACGAAATGAATCAGACCCCTAAAAATAAAGTTCTTTTAGAAAAATAAAAAATAATTTTTAAAGATAAATGAGAGGTTAAGGAATTTTTCAACAAAAGTGGCCAATAAGCATCATCATGATACTTCTATCGGCAAAAATGACGATGATGAATATTCATTCAAAGAAAAGAAAAAAATATTATGGAAAATGTCCAACTTGCAATAGATACAACGCTTTGTATTCATGGTGTCAATCATGTGACCCAAAACCATTAACTAAAGGGATGGACTAGAGGAAATGAAGCATTAGACGAGTTGATTAAAAATACAACTTAAGCAACTACTATATATTTTAATAAATATTATCTTGAATGGATTCCTTATAATGATTTAACAAATATTGAAAAGATAGTTGAAGGTGGTTTTTGCAACTGTATACCAAGCTTACTTTGTTAAATGATTATGGAAAAAGAATAAATAAAGATAGGAATGTGGCATTAGAAACATTATATGGTTCACAAAATGTTCCTGATGAATTTCTTAATGAGGTAAATTATTTTATTGTATTTTTTTAATACCCTAAATAAAATTATTTACAAAGAAAATTTATATTTTGTCTAGGGCATGACAGTCTATGTCCATGTCTATGTCTGCTGACAACACTGGCTATATAAATAAATACCAATAAGAAATGAAAGCATGAATATAATTCATGATATATATATTTACAATTACATTTTTGATAATATTTTAATGAAGTTGTGCATATAGCTTTCAGGGTTCTGTTTACTCTAAAAAATTATCAAAGTTTGGTTGCAATGAACCCATTCTCGTAGGTTCTGTTGAAATACTGTGATGACTGAAAGAATCATTATCTTCATTATTTGGTTGCCCATAATTTTCCTCTTTATCAACTTTATCACCTTTATCAATGCTTGAAATCATTACACTTAGCTTTGTTTCAACTTTTTGAATATCAGGCCTGCTTGTTGGATCACCTTGCCAACATGCTAGATACAAGCAAATGATTAACAAAAATTTAATGCATATATAAATATATAGTTTTTAAATATATAGATTTTTACCTTTGTATAAATTAATGTATTCATCAGGTGTATTAGGAATAGGTTCCTCACGAACTCCTTGAGAAATATTATACATTAAAGTATAATGTTGATCATGATTACTAAAAGGTGGTTTGTTACTAGTCAATTCCCATAATAAAACACCCACACTGTATACATCTGATTCTTTATTTGGCTTGCTATTATACTTGAAACATTGTGGGTCAATATAAGACAGCACTCCTGCTAATTGAAATACTGAAGTGGCTGTAAGTTCAAGTATTTTACGGGAAAGTCCAAAATCTGCCAATTTTATGGTTTTTTGGTGAACCAAGATGTTGTTTGAATGCTTTCAAAAAAAGAAACACTATTAAATATAATTTTTTTTAAAATAATTATAAATTTATTATTATTTAATTACCAAATCTCGATGGATAATATTGTTTTCATGTAGACACAAAACAGCTGATGCAATCTCATATGCAAATTTCAGTTTTAGATCCCAACTGGTTGATCCACCCTTTTCTTGTAGGTAGCTTCTTAGTGTTCCACTATCTGCATACTCAAGGACCAATGAATATCTCTCTTTGCCTTTATATAAATATAAATATTAGTTAATGGAGACAATCAAAATAGCAAATAGTTTAAACATACTTTCATTCTTAGTGACACCATAGAAACGAATAATATTTTGATGGTGATTAACTTTACGTAACAATTTCAACTAATTGAGCCAATTATTATCATTAGTTGAAAAATTTTTTTAATCCACAACCAAAAATATATTATAATTTACCTCATTAGTAATTTCTTTTGTATTTGCTATATCATGTTTATAGGATTTCAAGGCACAAGTACTACTATTGTCTAATATTGCTTTATAAACTTTTGCAAAACCACCTGAGCCAATTTTTTTAATATCTTTAAACCTACTGCCATATTCATAAAAATTAATGTGATCATTCTGAATTGCCTCATCAAGCCATCTTGACCAATTATCCTTAGGTTTTTCAACAATTGCTTTGTTTTCATTGATTATTCCATTGTTTGGCTCATCCTTTGTTTCTTTGCTATCTTGACTAATTGGAACATATGGTGGTGATTTGGATAATTGTGGCATTTCTTTAATTTTAAATTCATTATTATCACTATTATCCATAGATTTATCAACGATTTCTTTGTTTTTGTTTATTATTCCACTGTTTGGCTCATCCTTTGTTTCTTTGCTATCTTGACTAATTGGAGCAGATGGCGGTGATTCGGATAATTGTGGTAGTTCTTTAATTTTAAATTCATCATTATCACTATTATCCACAGGTTTATCAACGATTGCTTTGTTTTTGTTGATTATTCCATAGTTTGCCTCATCCTTTGTTTCTTTGCTATCTTGACTAATTGGAGCAGATGGTGATGATTTGGATAATTGTTCTTTAATTTTAAATTCATCATTATCACTATTATCCTTAAATTTATCAATAATTGCTTTGTTTTCATTGATTATTATTTCATTGTTTAACTCATCCTTTGTTTCTTTGCTATCTTGACTAATTGGTGCAGATGATGATGATTTGGATAATTGTGGTAGTTCATCATTATTACTATCCTCAGATTTATCAATAGTTGCTTTGTTTTCATTGATTATTCCATTGTTTAGCTCATCATTTGTTTCTTTTTTATCTTGACTAATTGGTGCAGATGGTGATGATTTGGATGATTGTGGCGAAGTAATTTCCTGTAGTTCTTCAATTTTAAATTCATCAGTATTACTATTGTCCTTAGATTTATTATCATTGATTAATCCATTGTTTGGCACATCCTTTATTTCTTCATTATCTTGACTAATTGGATCAGATGGTGGCGAAGGAGTTTTCTGTGGTTCTTTAATTTAGATTCATCATCATCATTATTATTAGGTGTTGTAAAAATTAATTTATAATATAATACTTACCATCTGGTTATTAAAAAATAAAATTATTTAATTAGATGACATTTTAATAAAGTTTAATTTGTGTTGGAAGAGTTAATTTATAATATAATACTTACCATCTGGTTATTATAAAGAAATAAAAAATAAAATTATTTAATTAGATGATGTCTTAATAAAATTTATTGTATTGTAACAGTTAATTTATAATATAATACTTGCCCCCTTGTTATTATAAAGAAATAACAATAAAAATATTAATTAAATGATGTTTTTGATAAAGTTTATTCTGTGTTGTAAGAGTTAATTTATAATATAATACTTACCATCTGGTTATTATAAAGAAATAAAAAATAAAATTATTTAATTAGATGATGTCTTAATAAAGTTTATTTTGTGTTGTAAAAGTTAATTTATAATATAATACTTACTCCCTGGTTATTATAAAGAAACAAAAAATAAAATTTTTTAGTTATGATAAAGTTTATTTTGCATTGTAAGAGTTAATTTATAATATAATACTTACAATCTATGAAATAAAAATAAAAATATTTAATTAAATGATGTTTTTAAGAGCTAATTTATAATATAATACTTACAATCTAAGAAATAAAAAATAAAATTATTTAATTAGATGACGTTTTAATAAAGTTTATTTTGTGTTGTAAAAGTTAATTTATAATATAATACTTACTCCCTGGTTATTATAACGAAAAAAAAAAAATTTATATTTAATTAGATGATGTTTTAATAAGTTTATTTTTTGTTGTAAATTAATTTATAATATAATACTTACAAACTATGAAATAAAAAATAAAATTATTTAATTAGATGATGTTTTAATAATGTTTATTTTGTGTTATAAAAGTTAATTTATAATATAATACTTACTCCCTGGTTATTATAAAAAAAATAAAAAATAAAAAATAAAAATATTTAATTAGATGATGTTTTAATAAAATTTATTAGGTGTTGTAAAAGTTAATTTACAATATAATACTTACTTTCTATGAAACAAAAATAAAAATTATTTAATTAAATAATGTTTTAATAAAGTTCAGTTTGTGTTTGAAAGTTAATTTATAATATAATACTTACTCCCTGGTTATTATAAAGAAACAAAAATTTTTTTTATTTAATTAGATGATGTTTTAGTAAAGTTCATTTTGTGTTGTAAAAGTTAATTTATAAGATAATACTTACTCCCTGGTTATTATAAAGAAATAAAAAATAAAATTATTTAATTAGATGATATTTAATAAAGTTTATTTTGTGTTGTAAAAGTTAATTTATAATATAATACTTACAAGCTATGTAATAAAAAAAATAAAAATAATTAATTAGATGATGTTTCAATAAAGTTTATTCTGTGTTGTAAGAGTTAATTTATAATATAATACTTACAATCTATGAAACAAAATAAAAATATTTAATTAGATGATATTTAATAAAGTTTATTTTGTGTTGTAAAAGTTAATTTATAATATAATACTTACCAACTATGAAATAAAAAATAAATTTATTTAATTAGATGATGTTTTAATATAATAAAGCTTATTTTGTGTTGTAAAAGTTAATTTATAATAAAATACTTACGCTCTATAAAATAAAAAATAAAATTATTTAATTAGATGATGTCTTAATAAAGTTTATTTTGTGTTGTAGAAGTTAATTTATAATATAATACTTACTCCCTAGTTATTATAATGAAATAAAAAAGAAAATTATTTAATTAGATGATGTAAAATTTATTGTGTTAAAAGTTAATTTATAATATAATACTTACAAACTATGAAATAAAAAATAAAATTATTTAATTAGATGATGTTTTAATAAAGTTCACTCTGTGTTGTGAAAGTTAATTTATAATATAATACTTACGATCTAAGAAATAAAAAAATAATTGATGATGTCTTAATAAAATTTATTTTGCAAAAATTAATTTATAATATAATACTTACTTTCTATGAGATAAAAATTAAATATATTTAATTAAATGATGTTAATAAAGTTTATTTTGTGTTGTAAAAGTTAATCTACAATATAATACTTACGCTCTATGGATAAAAAATAAAATTATTTAATTAGATGATGTTTTGATAAAGTTTGTTTTTAAAATATTTATTGAATTTAGTTAAACATTGCTTTATTATAAAGCAAAATATTAAAATTATGATGTAAAATCCTTTTACTATTACTATATAATTTTTTTTGTGTAAGAAAAAAAATACCTTCATTCATTTTTTCATTGGGAATTTTTTGTTGCAAAATAATTTAGAGATTAAGGCTTCAAATGGTTCAGTTTGGTGAATAAAATTCTTTGTGGTGGAGATCAACAGATTTCTAACAGCTTTGAAATTACAAAGAATTGCCAGAAGTTGTGTATTGTTCTGCAATACGTAATACTGGGGGCCAATATTATACAGTACGGTCCTTTTGTTTTGGCAAAAAAAAAAGCGTTATTAGAGATAGGAAATTAATTGCATGATGCGCATCATGCGCGTTTTATGTAGAGATGTTAATCAGTCCTAAACAGTTCAGGACAGTCCTGGGACTGGCAGTCCTATCTTGGGACTGGACCGGACTTAAGTCCTGGGACTTAAAGTTCTGAAAAAGTCCTGAAAAAGTCCCAAGTTTTTTTAAACATATTATTATTGAAACTAAAAAAACTTATTATTTTATTATTATAA